TTTTTTTTTTTTTTTTGGTTGCAGCCGTCATTGGTGTTTGGCGGGTCCGGGCTGGGGATTCGAACCCACCACCTTAGCTGTACGTGGCTGGCACCTTAGCCGGTTGAGCTATAGGCTCTGAGCCCATTTCTTAGTTCTTAACTGTATATTCTGAGTAACTAATTAGTATCAGATCAATGACTGCTAGATAAGTGAAGTTAGTACATATTATTACCCGAAAATATTGGTGTGATTTCTCTTTCCTTTTTTAAGACACTGCAATGCAGAAGCAAAAATACTTACATTGAACATCTCATTGAAATGCAGAAATAGATCTTTTTAGTTGCTAAATTGATAGATAATTTTTAATATTTTATCTGTTTGCATTTCTACTTTGTCTTTAGTATATTTACTGAGGCTTAAATAGTTGGAGATCAATTGATGGCCACCTTACTGTATATAGGTACTATGTTGAGCTTTTAGAATTATGTAGAAGCAATGTACCAGAAATGTGCGTGTAACAGAAGTTTTTAAACCTTTAACCACATAAGGACTTCAAGATAGAACAGTGAATAAGAAGAAAATATTTTCAATGGAAATGGAAGAAAACTGCAATGGTTTTATTTCTCTTCAATCCAATATATTTTAATTTTTTCTTTTCATTTAAATTTCATATCTCATTCTCTTAACTATGTATTTCTGCCTGCTTTGTTAAGAAAAAAAGTCATTTTTAGATAGCGGTGTTCAAGAACCTGAGGCTTTAGATTCTTTCTGTCATCCTGTTTTAGCACCAATTCCCTAGGCAGACAGGTCCCAGTTCAGGTTTCAACTGCATCCTAACATTTTAGGAAAGATGGAACCACTGTCTTTACATTTTCCTGTTTGGCAGATGATAAAACAGTGAGAATCAGGAAGAATGTATGTGTATGGAGAGGTCAGACCATTAATATACATACTTTGGAATCTGTCTCAGATGTTGTTGTAGAGAAAAGAAGACACAGTTTGGAGTTAGAGCTCTTGGTTTCTAGTCCTAGCTCCTCTGCTTACTAATTGAGTAGTCTCGGTAAATTCATTTAACCTTTGTAATCCTCTGTTTTCTTGCCTTTAGAGATAGTAGTGCCTATAACTGTTATTATAATGAGCTTTTGTGTGTAAACACAATTTTTTAAAGTCTAAATGTCTATACTTATTTATTATTAATATTAATATTGCATAATGGGGCTCGGCGCCTGTGGCTCAAGCGGCTAAGGCGCCAGCCACATACACCTAAGGTGGCGGGTTCGAATCC